AAAGGGCGCAAGGCCAGTTTCTCACAGTTTCGAGTTTGGGGTAGTCCTGCACACGTGTTAGTGCAGGAACCTAGAAAGTTGGAGAAACGTTCGGAAGCACGAGTTTTCGTAGGCTATCCCAAGGGAACGAAAGGTGGATTATTTTATAGTTCTGAGGATCAGAAGGTGATCATTTCGACGAACGCTAGATTGTTGGAAGAAGACTATATTATGAATCATAAGCCCGCGAGTAGACTAGTCTTAGAAGAGTTAATGGGTGAAATCGATGGTTCCTCACCGAGTGCGCAAGTAGATACATCACATAATACTGCAACACAGCACACTGAAAGTGTACCAGTGCAGACAGTGCCTCGTCGCAGTGGGAGGGTTTTTCATTTACCCGACTGATGGATAGGTGTTGGAGAGTCATCGGACTCAGTTCTAGGAGGCCTAGAATCGAATCCAAGAACTTACGATGAGATACTCCAAGATAAAGATGCAGATTCAGGAATGTTGCAATGAAAGCTGAAATGGGGTCCATGGACTCCAATCAGGTATGGGATCTTGTAGAACCACCCGATGGGGTACGACCCATTGGATGTAAGTGGATTTATAAGAGAAAGAGAGGATCGGATGGGAAGGTACAAACCTTTAAAGCTAGGCTTGTTGCAAAGGATTATACATGGATCGAGGGTATTGATTATGATGAGACCTTTTCGCCAGTAGCTATGCTTAAGTCCATTCGGATTCTCTTGGCTGTAGCCGCTCATATGGACTATGAGGTCTGGCAGATGGATGTCAAGACAACTTTCATTAATGGGAACCTATAGGAAGACATCTATATGCAGCAACCAGAGGGATTCATTGCTGAAGGTCGTGAGCATCTAGTGTGTAAGCTTAATCGGTCTATTTATGGACTGAAGCAAGCTTCGAGATCTTGGAATATCCGTTTTGATGAGGTGATCCAGTCGTACGGGTTCACTCAATGTCCGGATGAGCACTGTGTTTACAAGAAAATCAGTGGGAGCGTGGTGGTGTTTCTTGTGCTTTACGTAGATGACATACTGCTTATTGAAAATAGTAAGAAGGAGTTGTCAGACGTAAAGGTGTGGTTGTCTAAGCAGTTTGATATGAAGGACTTAGGTGAAGCAGTACACATTCTTGGTATTAGGCTTATTAGAGACCGTAAGAAGAGAATGTTATGCTTATCCCAGTCTTCATACATAGATACTGTCTTGGCCAGATTCAGCATGCAGGATTCCAAGAAAGATATGTTACCTTTCAGACATGGAATACCTCTATCTAAGGAGATGTCTCCTAAGACGTCTAAGGAGATAGAGGAGATGAAGACAGTTCCTTATGCTTCGGCAGCAGGAAGTCTCATGTATGCAATGCTGTGCACTAGGCCAGATATTAGCTACGTCGTTGGCATGGTAGCTAGATATCAAAGTAATCCGGGACGGGAACATTGGTCTGCGGTGAAGCATATACTCAAGTACCTGAGAAGGACTAAGGAGTACATGTTAGTTTACCGTGCATGCAGCTTGTTTCCTCTGAGTTACAGCAATTCTGATTTCCAGTTAGATAGGGATGAAAGGAAGTCAACCTCAGGTTATATGTTTACCTTGGGAAGTGGAGCTATTTCATGGAGGAGTGCTAAGCAGAAATGCGTGGCAGACTCCACCATGGAAGTCGAGTACATAGTAGCCTCAGAGACAGCGAAAGAGGCAGTTTGACTTAGGAACTTCTTAGTGGACTTAGAGGTTATACCGAGTTTGCCATGTGGTATCACTGTGTACTGTGATAATAGTGGAGCAGTAGACAACTCAAAAGAACCTCGAGCCCACAGAGCAAGCAAACACATAGAGCGCAAATACCATCTGATTCGGGATATCGTTGGTAGAGGAGACGTTGATGTTGCCAAGATTGCGTCAGAGGACAACCTAGCTGATCCTTTCACGAAGAGTTTGTCGTGGAAGGTCTTCGTCAAACACGTGGAAGGAATGGGAGTCATGAGCATGGCAATAGGATCGACATAGGTCTTTTAGAATAACGGATTGATAGGACTATACTGTAAAAGCGAAAGCTTAAGTATAAGTGGGAGATTGTTAGTGTTATATACTGAAAGCTTGGCTTTGCATGTTATGACACATTTACGCTTTATGAATGAGAATCATGTTAGATTAAACAAGTTATACGTTCTGTTGTTCTGCACTTAGATAGGGTGGGTCGTCATCGGGTGAACCGAAGATCACTCTATCAGTCACTTGCGAACAAGAATAGTTGTTCACAACCTAGATGGACACGAACACCCCATCCAAACGGTAGTAGTGTCAACTGTACAGTTTGTCTTGACTGATTAGTTGCACTAGTACATTTATGTATTGAACAGGATCCTAGAGAGGAGAAGTTCATTTTATACTGATCGTCGTAAATGAACTAGGCCTCGGTTAATTACTGCGTTCTCTTAACCCGTAAGATATTAAACAGGTAGATATATATAATATATATATCACTTTGATTCACATGGGTGAGGTTCAGTTCGCTGGATTAATATTCCTACTGTTTTGGATAATATAATTATATATAGGATGTGCTGTTAGGATATTTACGGTCACCATGTGCGTTAGTTTGATGATGTCCCGGAGTGAGTTCATGAAGGATTGTTATGCTAAACCCTGCAGGTGGATTAAGTTCCGGCATAATGTGATGGACGAGCGCTAGCTTCGGTGAAATAATAAGAAATTAATTAATTCTTGATTGTCAGTAATCGAATTAATTAATGGACATTACATCTTAAATGTGGGGAGGTAAATCGAGTAATTATTATTGGAGTCTCAAATGTAATTTGGGCTAGGAAAAGGGAGTGCAATAATATAATGTTGATGGCCCATTAATATTATTTAGTTAATGAGAGGAGTGGGCCTGGCTCACAGTTAGTCTAATTAATTAAGGAATCATTTTCCTAATCTCGTAAGGGTCCCTACTGTAGTTATATATATACTTCATTAAGCTCATGAGAAGAGAATCCCAATCTCATTCTAACGAGACAAACACGCCGCCCATACACTCTCTCTCTAGATCTCATTCGAGCTTTATCTTCTTCTTGTTGCTCCACTGGTACAAGTTGAAGAAGGGTGTATTGAGTAATACAGTAGAAGATCTGTAGGTAAACCGAGATGAAATATATTTTGACCTACGGAACTAACCGGAAGTCCGATTGAGACGTACAGCATACCCAGACGACCGTCTCGACGAGAGATTCCCATCGCCGCTGAGATCGCAGCCGTCCGACGCCTCACGCGCCCTCACGCGCCACCGGAAGCCCCCAGGCTACAAGTTTCGTTTTGATCTGTTTGCATCCGTTTGATCCGATTTTGATCTGATCTTATAAATTTTAAGCTGTAAGTTCTCTACGTCAAACCTTTAAATCCGCTGTGCATAGGTTTACGTTTGCTATTGAATTCGTGACTTGTATATAACGAGATCCTCGCAGATCCCAACACCTTTAGCTTGTATAAAAATGACAGATTAGATTCATAGGAGATTTCATATATATTATCTTTCTTTATTATTGATATTCTCTTACTATATTTTATGGTATGTATTTAATTATCTTCTTTTACTTGTAGGACAATAAATAACAATGACGATTAAAGGAAGAGACTCGTTTGAGGTTTGAGAGTTGAAAATCGTGAGAATGAGAGCCGAAAAAATCGAGCAAGAAAGGAAATAAATTGAGTAATAAGATTGGCAAAATGGCCCGCATTTCTACTGGCTGGGAAATCCATGGCCCGTGGCCCGCCCTCATTAGCCCGCGGGTCAAATCGTCCCGCCCGCGGGTTTTTTGGTATTATGCACTCTTATATATATATTTTTTAGTTTGTTTATCCTTATATTTACTAGTATATTAATAAACTAGTAAGGCTTCATGTGTAATAATGTTAAATATTTGTCATCCAGTTTTTATTTTTATTTTTTTTATGAATAGTTATAGGATATTCACGCGGAGGAGAGACTTAATTTACATAAAATATTATTTGATTCATTAATATTTTTATTATGTAAAAAAGTGTTTCATGTGCATTCACAAATCTTAATATCATTGTCAAATTTTAAAAAATATAAAATAAATAAATATGGAAGAAGAAGAAGAAGAAAAAAAAAAGACGATAAAGACAAAATCCAACAAAATAAATAAGTCCATCAATAGTAAATTAAAATAAGAAATAGTAAATTTAAATAATATAAAATTAACAAATAAATAAATAATAAAAAAACGGGCTGGACCGCGGGCCAGCCCGCCCCAGCCCGCTTTAGACCGCAGGCCAAATAGGCCCGCGATTGAACGGGCTGGCCAAGCAAAGGCCCAAGCCCGTCCATTTAGGTGGACGGACGGGCCAGCCCGTGGGCCATGGCCCGTTTTGACGGTGCTAACTATACAGGAATTGGATTAGATGTGTCCCTATTATTGAAATGAGAATGTGAGACTCAACTCAGTCACTCAACCCTAGCTATTAAATAAGAAAAAAGGTGTCTGGTCAAGATTTAATTATTTTATTTTTTAGTTGGTTAAATATTAATTTGAACGTTAGACCGTAGTTTATGCCCCTGTTGTTTTTAAAGTATGCGTCCGCCCGTGGGTAGAAAGTAGGTTAGATAGAGATAGTCTGAGGACGCTCTCTTAAATTTGTTTTTAATTATTAGCTTTGTAAATTTACATGAACTTAAATTGTTTTTAGTATAAACGTAAATTTTGTAGTCTCCCGAAATTTTAGTTGCCAGTGAATAGTATATAATAAATAAACAAAAAATATAATAACATGCAAAATATAACAAAAACGAGGGGAAAAAACAATGGGTAATTCCTTATAAATTCCCAATCACTTTTACAACTTCCTTGTCAGTCCCTAGTTCTTTTATTCTTCCTCTGCACTCCCTAATACAACATCCTCTTTCCTATTCACTCCCCTTATATATACTAATATTATTATTATTGATTTATTTTACTTGAAAATCATAAAAAATGGGAAAAATTTGTTCGGCCCTTTCTCTATCTTCGTTTTTCATCGCCGTCTTCCTCTCTCAATTTCATAAATTTGCCATGTATCTCACCTCCGAATCTCACAAATTTTCATAATCGGTTGTTTGTATCCACCTTGCCATCGCTCCTCATCGACCGTTCATCGAGACCGAAACGACGGCGATGTGACGATTCTGAAGCAGGTTGCCGCCTCTGTTTGCCGGAATTTCAGCTTTCACGGCCACCTACGCCGCAGCATAATCGTCCGGGTTAGTTCAAATTTCATTTTTTTCAGCATTTATCTATGTACCCATGTCTTTATGTGCTTCTTCTAGTAATTATTGTGCTGAAAAAATTCCGCACTTCGATCAATTTTTGGATTTCAGCTGCTTCGCGTCAATCCCCAAATCCACATTCATCTTGCAGTGTTCAAAGGCTACTTAGTTTAATTTGTTTTTTGGAATTGATTGATGAATTTCAATTCTGTTGCTCTGATTTCAATGATTCTGCAAAATTGGGGAAAATTAAGATGCAGCTAATGGTACTTGAACGTCTCTCAGCTTCGTCGGTAAGTAATGACCCAAATTTGTTTGGGATTTTGGGTTATTTTTTCGACTTAAATTGCTCGTCGCCGAACGGTATCTAAGAAAATCGCCGGTGTACTCGGTCAGGCATTTGTTGTACGCTACTTTCGGCTCTAATTCACCTTGACGATTTGCACACTCCTTTTGGCTCTAACTAATAGGTCCATGGCCAGGGTGTACTCGGTCCGGCATTTGTTGTTAGCCAGACGAATATCAAAATCAGTGCCGAAAAATTGATTGGGTATCGTGTGGTTTCTTGGGCTCAGACGATGTTCCTGAGAGGCGGTGGCATCATAGTGGAGGCTTGAGCGGCATGACGAGATCGTTGGCAAAGAGCTTGTCCGCGAAATCGATTATACCATCGTGCCCTCCATAGTAGTCGACGAAGCAGCCGTAGGTCGGGCCGAAGTGGAGGCAGCTGCTGCCGATGCGAGAGGTCCGAAGTGAGAGGTTTCTTTTCTTTATTAATTTGCTCTACTTTTATTTCCTTATCCTCCTTTTCTTTTATTTTTTTCATTGCATTTGTGAGCTGGTTTGTTGGTATGATGAAAGTAAAGTTTGTGTTTTCACATTCTTTAGTTACTGATTATGATGTTGGGATATAGTTGGGAAATTATGTATAATAATATGAACTGGCCAGTCTTTAGTTTATTGATTATGATGTTGGGATATAGTTGGAAAATTTTGTGTAATAATATGAACTGACCATTAGATTCGGTAAGTCAGCATGTATTTTATATAGTACTCTGTGTCTTGAGCATTTCTTACATTCTTAATATATTGACAATTTCTGCAAAAATTTCTAGCTTGTGCTCGATAATCATCCAATTGGACATTCTCTATTAAAATTTCATTTCTGAGCACGTGATGTCATTTACTGCAAATGGTTTCATCTTTATACTACTTAAGTTGTTCACATCTTGCTCTGTAATATACTTTTGATGAACTATTTTGTCTTTATTTTAACATTATTTCCTTTATTTTAATAACATGCAGATATTACAGTATTACTTATTTTTGTTTCCCAACATGCAGGTACTAGATGGTTTTGTCACCAGATGTCAAGCTTTTTCCTGTTGCGGAGGCGTGAGTCCTATCTGTGATTTTCATAAGTATACTTGTTTGGGCTTAAACTGGATATCTAAACAATAAACTGTATGTGTGACCTGTTGGTATGTGTATCCTGTGTCTAGTTAGTTTAATGCTTTATCATAAACTGGCTATTATTATTATTATTATTATTATTATTATTATTCCACGTGAAAAAATAGACATAAAAGATTAAAAAAAACCACGATTCCTAAAACAGTACTAGTTTTAGCTAAAATAATACCACATCTTCTACGTGGTACCTATTTTTAATCGATTTAGTACCTACTTTTATGAAGAAAAATGGATTATTTCAATTTTGATCAACATTTACAAAAAGTAATACCAAACATAGAGTAAGATAGTACCAGTTTTATATTGTTGTAGTACCTGATATTGGGGCTCGAGTACCACTTGTAATGAACACATAAAAACACCGAATTTCGGTCTTAAATGATGTTTATATGACCAATAACTACTCTCACATTAGTTTATATGAGATTTAAAATATTTTTAATTGAGTTTAATCGTAAAATGGTCATGAACTCGACACACTAGTGAGAAAACACTACTAATACACTTCATTTCATTGAATGACACACTTCATCTCATTGAATCATCATACATAACTACTCCAAATTCTACCTATATGTTTTAACTTCCACTTTTTTTCATCCAAATCACGCGTGAACGATCCACGTGTCATGGTAGACATGAAGGATTAAAAAAATCACAATTCTGAAAATAGTACCTGTTTCAGCAAAAATAGAACCGCATCTTCTTCTACGTGGTATCTTTTTTGATCGATTAGTACCTACTTTTGGTCAACCAAAATGGATTATTTCAATTTTGGTCAACATTTACAAAAAGTAGTACCAGACCTAGAAAATGATAATACCACTTCATGGTGTTTTAGTACCTGATATTGGGTCTTTAGTGCCACTCGTAATGAACACACAAAAACACTGAATTTCGGTCGCAAATGATGTTTATATGATCCATAATCACTCTCACATTAGTTTATATGAGATTTAAAATGTTTTTAATTGAGTTTAATCGCAAATTGGTCATGAACTCAACGCACTAATGAGAAAACACTACTACTACACTTCATTTCATTAAATGACACACTTCATCTCATAGAATCATCATACATGACTACTCCAAATTCTACCTATATGTTTTAACTTCCACATTTTTTTAATACAAATCATACGTGAACGACCCACGTGTCATGGTAGACATGAAGGATCAGAGAAATTACGATTCTGAAATAGTACCTGTTTTAGCAAAAATAGTAACGCATCTTCTTCTACGTGGTACCTGTTTTTGATCGATTAGTACCTACTTTTGTGAAGGAGAATGAATTAGTTCAATTTTGGTCAACATTTACAAAAATTAGTACCAGACCTAGAGTAAGATAGTACTAGTTTCATATTGTTGTAGTACCTGATATTGGGTCTTTAGTACCACTCGTAATGAACACATAAAAACACCGAATTTCGGTCGTAAATAATGTTTATACGACCCACGATCACTCTGACATTAGTTTATATAAGATTTTCAATGTTTTTGATTGAGTTTAATCGCAAATTGGTCATTAACTCGATACACTAATGAGAAAATACTACTAATAGACTGCATTTCATTGAATGACACACTTCATCTCATAGAAATCATCATACATGACTACTTCAAATTCTACCTATATGTTTTCAATTCCATTTTTTTCATCCAAATCACGTGTGAACGATCCACGTGTCACGATAGACATGAAGGATTAGAGAAATCACGATTCTGATAATAGTACCGATTTTCGGCAACATAGTTCCGCATCTTATTCTGCGTGGTACCTGATGTTTGATCGAATAGTACCTACTTTTTTGAAGAAAAAATTGATTATTTCAATTCTGCTCAACATTTACAAAAAGTAGTACCAGTCATAGTGTAAGTCAATACCACATTATGGAGAGTTAGTACCACTTGTAATGAACACATAAGAAGATTGAATTTCGGTCGCAAATGATGTTTATACGACCCATGATCACTCTGACATTAGTTTATATAAGATTTTCAATATTTTTGATTGAGTTTAATCGCAAATTGGTCATGAACTCGATACACTAATGAGAAAATACTACTAATAGACTTCATTTCATTGAATGACACACTTCATCTCATAGAAATCATCATACATGACTACTTCAAATTCTACCTATATGTTTTCAATTCCACTTTTTTTCATCCAAATCACGTGTGAACGATCCACGTGTCATGGTAGACATGAAGGATTAGAGAAATCGCGATTTTGATAATAGTACCGGTTTTGGGAAACATAGTACCGCATCTTATTCTGCGTGTTACCTGATTTTGATCGATTAGTACCAACTTTTGTGAAGAAAAATTGATTATTTCAATTCTGCTCAACATTTACAAAAAGTAGTACCAGTCATAGTGTAATGAAGTACCACTTTATGGCGCGATAATATCAGATATCCTGTCCGTAGTACCACTTGTATTGAACAAATAAGAAGACCGAATTTCAGTCGCAAATGATGTTTATACGACCCATAATCACTCTGACATTAGTTTCTATGATATTTGATGTTTGGTTAATTAAGTTTAATCACAAATTGGTCATGAACTCAACACACTAATGGAAAAACACTACTTAATACACTTCAACTCATTGACTGGTACCAGTTTTGACGGATATAATACCGCTTTTTCTTCTACGAAGTACATGCTGATCAATTAGTACCAACTTTCTGGAATGAAAATGTAATACGCCGATTAACTTCACAAAACTATTACATATATTGCAGTATAAAATGTCAGTATATTGTAAAAAAAAAAAATACTCATAAAGTGTCATTTACTGCCCACTCTTTTTAATGAAAATGAGTACACAAGTATGGACAAGATTGCATTTCCAGATGGCAAACTGCTAATCCCCTTTGTATAACGATGCATATACTCTCCATTCACAATCCGTATCGCTACAACAAACGATGACCTTCTACTTGTCATTTTTTTGATACTTAAAAGACAGCTTGTTTGCAATCGCGTAATTTTTGACACTCTTTCGAAATTCGTTGGCCCCACTAAATATCTGCCCCTCTCTTTTGATGCAAGATCTCCAAGAATCGTTCGATTTATCTTGCAACAACTCATCTTCTCCCTCCGAGAAATCATTAGACTGTACGTTTTCCCTGCGTTCATGACAAAATAATACAAAGATTTATAAATAATGGAACTAGTTAAAAAAAATTAATGAACTAAGATATGTATACCATATTTCAATAATAAATTCATTAATATTATAAAAGCAACATTACCTGCTCATGTTCATCAGGATCGATTGAACTATATCATATTTCATTTCTTTAAATGGCAATTATCTCTACAATATTTATTTTACAACAAACATGTAACCGAATCATGTTCTTCACATCCTCATCATCCAACAAACTAACGCTCTTTTTTTCCTTTGGCGCAATATAGCATAGCACGACGGATTCGAAATTAACGTTCGGCCACCTCTTTGATATGAGAGTGTACACTTCGTCAAGCGTTGATCCAATGTGCATAAAGAACACAAACAATTCATTCTTGTACGTACAACTCCCTAGTATATCACTTTGTGCCCCTTCCATGTATCCAACAATAATTGGATAAATAAAAAAAAATTTCACATTTCTCAGGAAAATATGGTACAAAATAGTATTAAAGTGGTAATATATACATACAAACAGAGGTACAATAATCAATAATAGTGGTACAGTGATCATTCCCACATTATTTTCTTGTTTTTGGGTGAATAACACATTGCATAACCTAACAATAGCATCAATTTCGTATACATAAACAAGAAATAAGAGATTTTGATCAATTTAATTGATTTAGGGTAAATATGAACAACAATTTTCAAAATTCAATCCTTAAAAAATTAACCAAATATATACGAATTAAACATGATTTTTGGACTCCAAAATGCTCATATAATACATATATTACTTACTACTTCAAATTTTGGCCGGAAAAAGACCGAATGTTGCCGGAAAAAATGAATTTTTGGCCGCACAAATTTGACGTCGGAATCACTTGTTTGGCCGGATTTGTTGTTGCAGGAGTTTCTTCTCGTCGGATTTGGGTCGCCGGAGAGACCAACCTGCAAGAAAAAAAGGGAGAGAAGAGGAATCGCCGGCGGGAATGGAGGGGGACGGGAGAGAGGAGAGATGTGTGTGGAAGAAGTTTCAACAAAATAAAATAAAGAAAAAAGGAACATGTAGGTATAAGAAAAGGAAAATGTATAATAAAATAATATGTAATATTACCTTGTAGCGGAGATGATGTCATAACTTGTTTTCTTTTTGATTTAATTTAACACTAGAGATTTAAGTGGAATATGATTATAGGAGTAGGGAGTTAGGAGGAAGAAAAAAAGGTCTAAGAACTGATGAGAAAATTAAAAAGGGACTTAGAGATTTTTTAAGAAGTTCAAAAAACAAAAATAATTGTCATACATGTCCTAAATATCTTCCATTTTTCCCGTGGAGATTACGCATCGAGCGTTGGACCAGGACGACGTCACTTTATCCAACGACCACCAAATAGCAAAGTATATGAACAAAAAACTACATACACAGACGCTAAGCTGTAATTTTCACTCGCACAATCGCAGCTTTACCTATACACAAGCACTGAATTTCGAANACCGAAAAAAAAAAAAAGAAAAAAAATTGCGGAAAAATGGTGGCGTACGCCGCGGCCGTGGATGCTCTGAGCGAGCGCGCCGCCGTGATGAGGGAATCGATGTTGAAAACTCAGGCCATCGCCGATAACATGGTCGCGATCCTCGGCTCCTTCGACCGCCGCCTCTCCGCCCTCGAGACCGCCATGCGCCCCACACAGGTGATTATTGTTGTTTCTCTCCTTTTTTTTCTTCATCTACAGCTTTTCTGTGCGGTTTATTTTAATCTGGATAAAAATGCATGAAAATACTGGGTCAATTTTTGCCGTAGATTCTCGTTTCAGTTTTAATAGGTTTGATTATTTTGGCGTTTCAGCTGAAAACGCATTCGATCAGGAGAGCGCACGAGAATATCGACAAGACGCACAAGGCTGCTGAGCTGATTCTGGAACAATTTGATCGCTCGCGCAAGGTCTTGGTCTTTGCTTCAGACTTCCATTTTCTCGTTTAGTTTTCGGTTTACGAGTGGTTTACTTTTAGCTTATTGCTTTATTGTGCTTAGTTTCTTTGCTATACTCTGGTTTTTGGGTATGCTACTGGGAAGTACCTTCCGTTGGCAAAGGGGCTGGTCGGGGAACTACATTGTTTCTTGGATTTGAATTGTGGCCTTGGGCCTGTTTATCTTTGCTGTTGGTGTTGTTTGTAGTTATGATTTGCTATTTGATAGTTAGGTTGCAAATGTGTGGATATTTTGGCTGTTTACAATCTCAAATGACTATAATTTCAATTGGCACGACTTTGGGATTGAAGCATATATGACTATTCACATGGGAAATGTGTGCAGCCTAGTAAGATTCTGGGATATTTCTCTGGGCTAACGAATAAAATTACTGGACGAAACATGATTTTTATATCCTTGGTACTTTATCGGATGGCAATATGTGTTCAGAAGTTTGCATTACTTTAGTCTTTTTTATGGGTTCGCCGACAAGCTTAATACTTATAACTCAAAACTTGAGGTAGAATTTGATGTGCTGAGTTCAAGCTTTAATTTGATGGCTATTGTATTCTTCCATGATTGTATGTGTGCCTGTGTTTGGTCCCCACTTGCTTCGAGCCCGCTCCTTGACCCTTGGTGTTTGTTGCACTAGATTTTATTAAACATCTAGGTCCTAATCAGTCTTTAAATGATTGGAACATAAATTATGCGAAATCCCCTTCTATCCTGATACAATATTGATCTTCTGCAGGCCGAAGCTAAGATAATGAGGGGACCTCATGAAGATTTGGAGAGCTATCTAGAAGCAGTGGATCAGCTTAGGAGCATTGTTCGCTTTTTAACTGGAAACAAAGGTTTCCAGGGTAGTATCGGGATGGTTAATCAAGCCAATGCTTTATTAACCAAAGCAATTGCCAAACTAGAGGAAGAATTCAGACAGCTTCTCACCTCATACAGGTCTTTTCATCCACATATGATCCTAGACACTATTCTATTTGGTATAAGTTATGGAATTTTAAAGTCATGTGATCGGCCATGTATGCATTTCTTTTGTCTGTAGCATTCAATATATTGTATGTATAATTTATTATATGTATGAAGTCTTCAGATTTAGCTCACTCTTTGTTTCTTTCTTTTTACTATAAATGTTTCCGATTTCTGTTTGAAAAAAAATCATACCACGAAACGTTTTAGGTTTGAATTTATTTGTTTGTACTTTGTATAACTATTAATATTTATGTTAAGAAATCTACTCAGTTTTTAATTCTGTGCAGTTTGTGACTATATTACTGGGCTATGCAATGAATATTTTTGTGTCTAGCGAATCTGAAAGAGATTCAGTGTTATCATTTACTCCATTAATCAGTGAATTTATATGGAGCTTGTTTTAGCATCCGAGCAAGCTATTATTTTCATCCCATTATTTCCAAATTTCACTTTGCAAATGTTTGACGAACTTATTTGGTGAGTCATGTTTCGGATTTCAGCAAGCCTGTAGAACCTGATCGACTTTTTGACTGCCTGCCAAACGCCATGAGACCATCAACAGGGTCACCACGTGAAAGAGAATTGAGTGGAAAAAAGACTTCTGGCCAAGAAGAAAATGCAGAAAATATTGTCTATCAACTCCCACCTCTAATTCCACCTCGACTTCTGCCCTTACTTCACTCTATGATTCAGCAAATGATACCAGCTGGCCACAAACAGCAGGTCGTCATTATATATAGGTAACTTGCAAATTTACATCTCATTTAGATGCAATGTTTCATGGCTCTTATTATACGGAAGAGCTATTCATATCAGCATATGGTTGAACTTTCATGGAAGGTAAAGGCCTTGTTTTCATTTCAATCTTAGATATGCTCTTTCATGTAAGCACGTTGGAATCGATTGATAAATTTTAAGTCATAATCATTCTGATTCATGTATTCTTTTGTAAGGTTGTGAAGTTTTGGTTGATTATGTTTACATCATTAGCTTATTTGAAATGCATACGAGGGAATATGCTGTTAATCATTAGCTGAAAATAATGGAACAGCTAAGTTTAATAGGTCAACTTTTTGAAGGACTTTGAGAGTTACCTTTTTAATGATAATTTATCAGCTGAAATGTTGCGTATATGACTGACGATATATCTGAAGGAAAACATCCAGTAGATAATATAGATTCTATTTTTTATTTGTACTTCTCGTGGTTTTATTGTTGTCTCAATTTTTCCACTTAGGGAAGCACGGTCTGCAGCCCTTGAGCAAACTTTAAAGAAACTTGGTGTTGAAAGACTTAGTAAAGAGGACGTGCAAAAGATGGCGTGGGAAGTCCTAGAGGCAAAGATAGGAAACTGGATTCATTTCGTGCGGATTGCTGTAAGGATTTACTCACATTCCAGTCATTGATTTACTTTTGTCTCACTTCTTTTCTTGTTCTTTTTTTCAACAAACTTCTATTTTGTGTCCGAACAGGTCAAGCTTTTGTTTGCCGGGGAGAAGAAATTGTGTGACGAGATTTTCGAAGGTCATGATAATCTTAGGGACCAGTGTTTTGCCAAGGTCACAGCAAACAGCATGGCGGTTCTCCTCAGTTTTGGTGAAGCAATCACTAAGATCAAAAGATCACCCGAAAAGCTGTTTGTCCTCCTTGACATGTACGAGATTATGCAAGAACTTCAGCCAGAGGTATGTGGAACATAGAAATTTGTGCATGTCATCTAGCCTTGTTCTCTTAGCTGAGACGTGTACTGTTTCTCTTATAGATGGTTGACTTTTAGCTCATAAGGAAATGTTCTTAATCACTAGATATATCCGTCACTGGTTTGTGAATAATATCTTACAATAGTTTCAAACTTGACGCGATGTCTTGGATGTTCTGGCATTTTGATTGGAAGTACATAATGTGGTCTGAGTTTTCATAATAAAATTATAATCAATATTTTGACATTTATAATTTTGTAATGTGACGTATATTCTGTTACAGTTTTGAGTAAGAACCAGTGGTCAGTGAAAATTTGGTGATCCTTAATCTTCAAACTCCCTCTGTTTTTATTATAGTCTTAGATTTATAGATGGTTAAGCTATCTCCAAAAGGCGTAAATATCTTATGTTGAGAAGTATTATATGGAGAAATGGACATCTTTAACTATAGTTTTGAACCGGTAGTGAAAAATTTGAGCTTCTTCACAATTTTTTCGTGCTTGTATTGAACTTATCTTTAACTTCAACAGATGGATGCCATATTTAGAAGCAAATTCTGTGGCGAAATGCGGGAAGCCTTCGTGGTCCTTACGAAACGACTGGTCCAGACAGCACAAGAAACATTTGGTGATTTTGAAGAAGCAGTTGAAAAAGACGCCACAAAAACTACCGTTCTTGACGGAACTGTCCACCCCCTGACGAGCTATGTGATTAACTATGTGAAATTTTTATTTGAGTAAGTTTATCCTGACAGCCATAACATTTTCTTTTCCTCACGCGCTTTATCTGATGGCTTACAGTAATATTTTTTCTTCCCTTCTCCTTGATACTTTCAGCTATCACTCATCATTGCTACAACTCTTTAGAGAGTTTCATGAAGCTAATGCAGAGGAGCAGCTGGCGAATATAACCACGCGGATAATGCAGGCTCTTCAGACGAATCTTGATGGGAAATCTAAGCAGTATAAAGATCCCGCTTTGACACAGCTGTTTTTGATGAACAATATGCACTACATTGTAAGATCCGTTCGCAGGTACATAGATTTGCTTAAATGTTATGTTTAAAACTCCCCTCCTAAGAAAATTGATGGACATTCCAATATACTTTTGACATTTTTCTTGTCAAAGATCTGAAGCAAAGGATCTGTTGGGCGATGACTGGGTTCAGATACACAGACGAGTAGTCCAGCAGCATGCTAATCAGTACAAAAGGATTGCTTGGTCTAAGGTGCATGAAAAAATACCTGAAAATTTGTAATCACCATAAAAAATATAATTTAATGACCTTTTTTTACTCATGCGGGCAAATTTCTTCACAAACAGATTCTTCAGTGCCTAACGATTCAGGGGGTGCAGTCAGGCGGCAGCAGCTCATTCTTGGAAATCGGCAGCACATCGAGTGTTTCGAGAGCAATGGTGAAAGACAGGTTCAGAAACTTCAACGTGCTGTTTGAGGAGATTCACCAGAGGCAGTCCCAATGGACAGTCCCTGACAGCGAATTACGAGAATCTCTGAGGCTAGCGGTTGCTGAGGTTCTACTGCCCGCATACAGGTCTTTCGTCAGACGATTCGGGTACGCACACAGCACACTATATATATATCCTGTGCAGTTCACAAATGAAAAAACTAAGAACTTGCTTGTTTACAAATATACTATAAAAAAAAAAAAAAAAAAAAATTTGAACTCAAAAAATCTCACTAACTTTAACTCAACTCCATTATCCTCTATATTATCAATATAATTAAATAATATCAATCAATCGTTTTTACATATCACATTAACTTTAATTCACTATCCATCCACGTATATAATCTTAACTAATCATCACTTCACATCATTTTTCTCATGCTTTTATATCAAATAAACTTTAATCATTTTATTTTAAATATTATTGTAATATAAACTCAAAATCCCACTAACAAATAACCATACCACATTTTTCACAAATTAAATCTGATTAATAAAAAAATCTCGTTTTGAGCGGATATATTTGTATCCAAGCAAGCCCTTAGGGTGTGTTGGTTTATAGATTTTCTCAATTTATACTCAAAATCTAACTCAACTCCATTATCTTTTACATTATCAATATAATTATATAATATCAATCAATCATCCTTACACATCACATCAACTTTAATTCATTATTTATCTACTCACATAATTTTTACTAACTATCACTTTCAATCATCTATCTCTTACTTTTACATCAAATCGATTTTAATTATTTTATTTTAAATATTATTTTAATACAAGTTAATAATTCTACTAACAACTAACTATAACAACTTTTTNATTACATACCAATATATTTGTAACAAGCAAGCTCTAAGGGCATTATTGTTGTTATATTTTCTTTATAAAATTTGGGATAAAAGGGAACAAAGAGAGAAATAATTTCAAAAACTGTTGCTCATAAATATGGATGTCAGTAGTTATATTGGGATCCAAGTAATCGATAGTAGTAATTTTTTACAATATTCACCAATCCGAAGACAATTTTTGTTGAAAATCTAAATTGGTCAGAAATTGACACTTTGCACATATTTACATTGAATATGAGTTCGACTTCGGATTTAAAGCTAAACATTATTCTCAAATTTGACCAATTTCAAACATTACGAGATTACAAGACTACTATTGATTAAATGGATTCCGACTGGTTATTTTTGGAACTAGTTTTGACTTGTGAGACCCCTTTTAAAATCTTTTCGTTTCTTACAAGTTGACTCAAGTAACTGATTGAACTTGTTTGGGTTAGGCCTATGATTGAGGGTGGGCAAAACCCACAAAAGTACATCAGATATAGCCCAGAAGATCTAGAAAGTATGCTGGCAGATTTTTTCGAAGGCAAGACCTTGAACGAACAAAGACGCATGATAGATTTTAAATAATCCCTGTACTGCAGATAGTTTTTTTTTTTTTTTTAATAATCATGAAAATTTGGATGCCGATTTTACGTAACGACTACTGCTCACATTTTTACGGCTGAAAATTGTGTTAATCTCATGGTTTAATTTTGTTAAGATAAACAAGGGTGTTATTCCAGCCCGTGCTCGTTTAATAAACAAATCGGTTTGACTCAACTTGATTTATTGAACGGACCAAAATTTGAACACAATTTGTAAGTTCGAGAGGGTGTTCGACTTGATTGTTCATTCGAAACCTATAAATAATAAAAGGAAGATGAACATTCATGAATCACGCAATAAAATTCTAAAAATCTGAACTACACTTCTGAACTTCGAACTAAACTAATAAATTGGGTATTATTTCTTTCTTTCTTTTTCTGTTTTTGAAGTACTATCAATATATATTTAAAGTTCACTTTGTTGATGTTAGGTCGTGAGACGAGTGATATGCAAAACCTAATTCGACCGGCGTAAAATTTCTGATGCTCAAGTTAGAAACTCTTTTAAAAAGTATGACAAGCATTGTATTAAAAATCAAGCTAGACGCTGTCTAGGCGCTAGGCTGTACCTGGGCACGCTGATTTTTGTCTAGACAACCCTTCTACGCGCTCGAACAATTAGGCGCCGCTGGACATGGCCAGTCAATAGATTGGGTCGGGTTCAATTTAGAACCGAAAGTTCAGATTTGTCATTTTTTATGAAATGGAATTGACCCGACGATAACTGCGGGCCTGGTCCAATTCGAGCCGAGCTAGTTTCTTCTGAGCTGCCTCCGGTCTGGGTTAGTCGCATCCGATATGTTCCCGATCCAAATGACCTACTAAGAGGTGCTAGGGAGTACCCTATCAATATTGAATTAAAGTATGATATTTTAAGTATATAATTAGTATTCACCGTTTAACTATTAGACAACCTAATAGTGTAACTGCGATTAGTTTTATTAATATTCCATAAAATTTATAAAATTAAAGTAGCCTAAGGAACTCTCCCAATCTGTACACACCAATTGTATGTTCCTACTTAATTTAGCAAAACAAATTCTAATTTGGAAACACAAACTATATATCAACACGCACCTTGTATTATATATGTATGTGCATGTGATCAAAAAGTGAAAACCCAATGTATGCACACTGCACATGTAGAATCGAATCTACCCACCGGTTAAAACTTTTTCTTCACCACGTCTTGTTTCATTTACCCCATTTTTCACTCTCCTTTATGACCTCCACACCACAATACACTAACAGACCTCAATCCATTTCAAAATCAACGGTTGCCTTCAATAACCATAAAACTAACCTTGACAATCCTCTTACCCTCTTCAACATTACCTACTATTCCTCAAGTTTAAACACTCCAAGAAAAAAAAAGAAAGAAAAAAACTCAATCTTCTCCCTGATTGAGAGAAAATAACAAACTATTCTCACAGGGAGAAGGAAATTTTAATTAACCACCATAAATCAAGAAAAACAAACACACACAACAACAACAACAATGGGAACCGAATCACCTTCCCAATCCACGGACCCGAAACAAAAACCCGAAAACCACAACCCGTTCCACCACGAACCCTACTACAACTACTCCTCATACCCGCCCGCCATACCCGTCGGGCCTCCGCAACCCTACCCGCCCGACCACTACAACTACTACTACCACCACCAACCGCCGCCTTCTCCGGTGGGCCCCCCGCCCCGTCCGGCCACGTTCGGCCGCTTCATGCTCGTCCTCACGACACTCCTCCTCGCGTGCATGTGCATGACGAGCCTCGCCGTCTGGTTCCTCTACGGCGTGAAGGCCCCGGAATTCGAGGTCTCGTCCCTTCGAGTCTCCAACTTCACCGCGGGCCCAGTCGGCCTGACGGCCTTCTGGGACGCGACCCTCCTCGTCGCCAATGGGAACCGAGATGCGTCGTTCAGGTTCCGGCACGTGCGTTCCGTGGTCCTCTACCGGGGATACATCCTCGGGTTCTCGTCCGAGCGCGCGTTCGGGGTGGAGGGCGGGGCGAGGGGCGAGTTGAGGGTCCGGGTGGAGGNGAGGGGGAGGGATGGTGGACGTGGACAACGTGATGGTGCCGGAGCTCGCCCGGGAGTGGGAGGCCGGGGGAGCGGTGTTCGGACTGAGGCTGGCGATGACGGTAAACGTCACGTCGGGAGGAGAGCATAGCTTGACGGTGGCGTTCGACGAGCTCCGGGTGGAGACGGAGGGGTCCGACGAGGGGAGGCTGACCGGAGGCGGTGGGGCCCACTGCTTGATAAGCATGTGATGTGATGCATGCATGCATGCATGCAAATGTTTTGATTAAATTATAGGTTTGATAGTTTCTTTGATTGAGCTGAGGTTTGTAAAATTTGTGCATATGGTAGAAAAAAAAAAATGGTAAGATTGATTTAGTGCAAAATTAGCTATGCATTGTATAAATTAAACTACTAGTTGTTTTGTCCTTAATATCAAGTGACTTTATTTGAAATTGCAATTTAATAACGACTTTTTTCACTTTTGTAAATAATATCACAATTTTCAGTTTGTTGCGAATCGGTGCACCGATTTGAAGAACCTGTGCAAACTATACCACAATCTTAAGTTTGTTATTCGGTCATATCAGCTTTTTTAAGGTTGATCTTCAGAACTCGTGCATCGATTTACAACAAACTGGAGATTGCAATATAATTTGCAAAAGTAAAAAGGTCGTGATAAAATTGCAGTTACAAAAGAAAGGTGGTGATATTAGGAGCTATGTTGCCTATAATTGGAAATACTTTTCAAATGGACTATTTTGGATGCATAAAAGTCCGTTTGGATAAATATTTTATGTTTTGTGTTAAATTAAGAATGAATTTATGTTAAATTAAGAATGAATTTATGTAATACCTCAGGTTACGTTATGAGAAAAAACTGATAAAGCTTAAAGGACTTGATTTGTAAAAGTCATATCAATAATTGTACTCTGTTTTCCGCACCAGATTCATAAGAACTCCAAGGTTAAACGTGTTTGGGATAATTATGGGATGGGTGACATGAAACGGTGAGTGCTCAAAGTCCGCTGGAAAGACTAGTGTTGGTTAGCCATTGAGCTCGACTCTTTTAAACAAAGAGACGAATTAAATTCGAGATTTAATGAGTCGAACTAAGTTGTGTTCTAGCTCAATTTCATTTAATAGATAGACAAACAATAGTTTATGTTTTGGAAAGGAAAAAAAGAAAAGTAAAACATTTTCACTCGGCCTCTAAACTTTTTTTAATTCACTGAATCAAACAAGTTGTCGTTATCGAGTCGGGCCAAGTCGAGCAGCCTCTGTTCGAGTTCATGCTCATTTAAAAAACAAGCCAAAGATTCTCAAGCTCAACTTGATTCGCATTATAGATCAAAAACCTTAAATGAGTTTTTCAGAAACATGAAGTGTTTGTTTGCAAATAAATTTGGCTCGACTGTTTTATTGAAGACTCATGAAAAAAACGAGTTGTTCGTGAGTTTATTTTATTAGTTGTTCAAGCTCAACTCATTTTAGTATCGCACCTGTTGGATTCATCGGAACCAAAAACACAGCAGATTGCTTCGAAGTCATAAATACGAATCAGTAAGGACCGAGCCAGAGTAAACGAACAAGCCAAATACAAGATTTCACGAGCCAAGTCAAGTTGTATTAGCCAACTGTTAAGTTTGTTTGAAGAGCTCTAGTTGCCATTGCCAGCAATTAGATATTTCCTTTTTCATTTTCCCTCCATTTTTGCTAAAATCCAGAGGCGCAATTGGAGGAGCTCTGGAGTCTGTAGAGCTCACAAACAATGCCGAAAAAACAAAAAAGGATGAAAAGCAAACCGCCGCCAAAAGCCGGCGTTACGACAAAAATGGCTCCCCCGCCATCTCGTGCGGAGCTCAGGCCACCATTTTTGGCTCTTTTCCTCCACGTGCCCCCTTCAAACCCTCCACCGCCAGCCGTCTACATAACGCCTTCGATTAACCCCCAAAAGCTTCATCCCACACTCCAAAACCCCTCCCATCACCAATGGCGTCCTCCGGCGGCGGAAGCTCAGCCAACGGTGACCATCTTCTCCCGACGGCACAACGCGCTGCGTACGTCCGGGATCTGTACCGTCGGCCCTTCCTCCGCCGCGAGAGTCCCTAATTTGGGGGCTCTCTGTTTTCCTCCTCTTCGCGAGCCCCTCCGTCCTGATGTATCTGACCCTGCACCTGACCTTCCCCCAGCTTCGTATTGTCTCCGCCGCCATGGCCGCCGGAGACGCCGCCGCTGTCTGCAACATCACCTTCCTCCTCACAAACCCTAATCGCCGTCTGAGGGCCATATACAGCCGAATTGAAATCTCTCTGTTCTATCCACCCCAGCAGGTCCTGCTTTCGGAGGTTCACCGCCCGCCGTTGGCCCAGGCCACGAGAAGCCAAATCTCAATTGAAACAGATCTCAGTTTTAATGGCGGCACTTTGCGAATTGAACTGGCTGAGTCGATTAAGCAGGTTTTGCATCGAGTAAAACGAGCAGTATTTTCTTGAACCCATATCCAGAATGCGAGGTTTATCTTTATAGGAAATGAAATGATGTTAATTTTGGTGAATGTTTGAAGGTTACATGATTTTGTGAAATGATGTTATGTGGCTTAAGATATTACTCGTTGAAGTTGTTACGTGTTTAGTATGATTGATCATTGTCTGTCTTGTTATTGACTTCCTTTTTATTGTTAGCAACTTACATTTCTAACTTGATCGACTGATCATAGTTCCAGGTGAGAGTTTCTGATTGCTTGAGTTCGGTACTGTGTGACAAGTCGTGTGACTCTAGATGTTTCCTTGACGTGTGTTATTACGAATCGAGATAATTTGTGACAAGTAGTTTTTTTATTGTTGGTTGCACATTCATGTTTCGTTTTTGCCAACAATTGGTAGATTTACGTGAACCGTGATTTGCTAATCTACCCCTGATTTCCAATTGATTTCTACAGTGCTATGACTTCGACAGTCATATTAAAATGATAAATGTTTTCATGATCTTTGAGGAACATGCATGTTTTTGAGTTAATATGCTTTATGTTATCCCAAAAAATCGATTAAGGTAATGTTTTTTCTTTCGTATCACAATCTTCCTATAAAGTTTATGAAAGATAGTTGTTTTCTTGCTAACGGCTTCATCTTCATGGGGTCCTTGTGAATTTTTGAACTTGATACTTTTTNAATTCTGGCATTTTGCTTATTGTTCTAAAACTTGTAATATGAACTATTTTAGCCTAAGCTTATGGGGCACTTGTACTATACCAGTAGTAGGGTTCTGTTTTCTTTCAATTTTGAACTTTGAACCCAAAAAAATCTTGGAAGATATTTGTGGTGCTTCTTATCTGCGTAGAATATATAATCTTGTTCGATCCTTACATATTCCTTTTCCTCTACTTTATTTCTTTATCCAGTTGCTTGGATTCTTCCTCTATCAAACACTACGGATGCATCATTTTTCTTATTCTTTTTCTCACTTTCGGCATTTTGTCCCTTTCAATCGATATGTAGGCACCATCACAAGCATGTAGCTCAAAATGATTCTGTTCACACTTTGATATTTGAGATTATTAGGTCAGTATTAATGAACACAGTGCCTTTTAGAATGCAGTATACATTTTGAAAAGCCAAATGTTATAATATACTCACATTTTGCAAGTTTCTTTTGTTCTTCTCATATGCAGCACAAAAGTCTGAGGCTTCTCAAACTCCAAGGACGATATTGTATAGGGACATTTGTGTAGAAGAAGATTATATTGCAATTAGAGTTGGGGTTAAATTTGTCAGATAAAAAAGTGGAAGATGTTTTGGGATATCCTTAATCCTTTGGCTTCATTTGGCGATTTGCATGTCAGCCCCAAGGGCCAAAAAGTATCTTATCTCATTTGGCAAAAAGTNAGATGCTCCACTTTTATTGTTTTCACTTGCTTTTTTTGTGCCTTTCATCATCCAAGGCCAAATGATTTGCGAAAACTCATTAATTCATTTTCAAGTATATTTATTCAACTAACTAAACTTTTTAACTTAGTTAAAACATCCTTAATTCATTCTGAAATATATTTATTAAACTAACTAAACTTTTTATTTTAATTTTCCTATCACAAACGTAGGTGTTCAATACATGAGTATTATAATACACAAAGGCTATTGTTAGATTAACTAACTTTTAGAACTTTGTTTACCAAAAAATTATAGATATTTATATTATATCTTAAAATGTGATTTGCTTGAGTAAGTGTACATATATTTATACAATATAGTTAATTCAACTTTATCTAAGGTATGACTATACAATGTCTCAATGGTATAACTATTTAAAAATTTCCACAGCAATCCAAAACAAAACTTTGGGAAACTCAAGATATTAGCAAATATATAATTACCTTCAAAATTTTACTTGACAACCGTAATTAAATACAATAATTCTAAAAATACATGACAACCAAAACTTACAATATACTTCCAAAATACCATAATTCTACAAATACCCAAACTACCCCCACCCAAAAACCCTCTATATATGTCTCATTACTCTCAACCCCAAAACCCCCCCAAAACAAAAGGAAGCTCCCAACATGTCGGAAAAAATCAGCGCCGACCAGAAGCTCGACGGCCGTCGCCTCCTCGCGTGCCTCTTTGCCCTTGTCGTTGCCGCTATCCTCGTCAGTGTCCTTGTCTTCACAATCATACGCCCCTCGAAGCCCGTTTTCACCCTCGAGGACGCCACCGTCTTCCGCCTCAACCTCTCTGCCGCCCCCAACGCCATCTCGGCCGCCGTCCAAGTAACTGTGTCGGCCCGCAACCCCAATGGCAACACCGGCGTCTACTACGACTCCCTCCACGCGTACGCTGACTACCGGAGCCAGCAGGTGACCTACTTCGCGGCCATCCCGCCGGCCTACCAGGTCCCGCGGGGGGTCGACGTGTGGTCTCCGCTCGTGTACGGGGACTCAATCCCCGTAGCGCCGTACAATGGGCTCGCCCTTGCCCAAGATGCGGCGGGCGGGTCAATCCCGCTCGACATTAGGATCAACGGGCGGATTAGATGGCGGTTAGGGCCGATCATCACGGGTCGTGTCCATCTGCACGTGGATTGTCCGGCGGTGATACCCGTAGGGCGTGGGGTCATGGTCGGGGTTGCGGTCAAGTACCAACTATCGCAGAGCTGTAGCGTCAGCGTCTGATCTGTCGGGTTAGGTCGAGTTTTAAATGAGCTTGTTGATAAAGGTGGTTAAATAATCGGCAAAATTTAATTTTTTGTCGAATAACTTGTGACCATTGGCAAAATAAGACATTTTTTTTATTTGGGAATCGTAATTCATAAAATCATGCAATTATTGGTCAATCAACGATGAGTTGACGGATTGCACCGGATTTTGCTGACAAATCACGACCTTGCTTATGTGGATGAATGACTCGACGAATGAAGTATCATTCTAACCAGGGGCGGAGCTAGGATTTGAAAATACTTGGGGCTAATGAAATTGCGATCTCCGATTTTTTTTTAAGTTTCAAACGCGATTATAGTATTAGTACTGATCTTTTCGACCAACTCTCTTTCAATGTAAATAGTCATGGAATCTGCCAAAAATTCCTCTTCCATCTTGTTACGAAGAACTGTCTTGACAAGTTTCATAGCCGAAAACGCTCGCTCTATAGTTGCCGTAGACGGGGGGAGAGTCAAAACAAGACGAATTAACCTGAAAAATAAATTAAATAAATTAGATCGAATAAATATACTAGAATTTAATTAACAAAAAATGACTTAAAGACAATTTCAATTGTACCGGTCAATCAAGTTGTAGATTATTTACTTATTTGTATCAACTAATCTTCGACATAATTCAGAAATAGTCGGTAAATCTTTAAATCTCTCAGTACTAATGACATCAAACTCTTAGTGGTTCAATTGCAATCTCAAGTGGAGCAAATGTTGAGCATCAAAATCAAGAGGATAGAAGCGTTCGGCAAAACGATGAATATGATCACCATTGAACAACTTACAACCTTCTTTTGGTTCCAAGGCACAACTAAGCTTAAGTAGTTCAACCGCTTCATCCTTGAATCTACTATTCATCTCTACTTTGAAAATCTATTGCGGGATTAAATACATCAAAATGATAATGATGCTCAACTGTGATTGAATCATTTTGATAACTTGATCGACGTGTAGCGGATTTATAGTGACCTTCCATTTCAGACACCTCAATATCATACTTGACACAAACCTCCTTCACAATTTGAAGGTGGGTATAAAAACCTTCTTCTCTCAACGTTAACATTTTAGTAGTTGAAATATTGTCCATTGCACTTAAAATGTCTAAAGACTTCTCTTGCAATGCCCGACAAAGTAAATTTGTTATTCCCATTATTTTTTGCATCAAGTGTAATATGAATATATAATCAAAAGATTTCATTGCAATCAAAAAACCACTCGCTTCACCTCGAATGGAAATAGAAGATCCCTCATCCACCATTTTCTCCAACACGACAATCACGGAGCTATACATATCTATCATACTACAAAGTGAGTCAAAATTAGAACTTCACCGAGTTTTTCCTGGCCTGAGTAAATTCCCAACTTGATTACACCCTCTACTTGTATCACGCTGCCCCATTGCTACCATATGTGAAATTTCATTTTTTTGAGCAACTTGCAAATCACAATGGCGTTTGGGAGAGACATTTATAAAATTACCGATATCAGTCAATTTTGAAAAAAATAACCAAATAGATACTTTTTTTCCAGCAGCTGCAACCAATGATAGCTGAAGTCAATGCGCGAAACAGAGCACATAATATGCACTCGAATAATCTTTCAAGAATAGAGCCTGCAATCCATTCCATGAGCCACGCATGTTGCTATCACCATCATAACCCTGTCCCCGTATATTGTGACCTTGTAAATCATATCGATTTAAAGCATCCAATATTTCATTCTTTAGTGTCGTGGCGGTTGTATCAAGGACATGAACAATAGCAAAAAAACGTTCTCTTATAAAGCCATCAATATCGACAAACCTCAACACAATCGCCATCTGCTCTTTGTTGGAATTATCTCTCGCTTCATCCACTAAAATGCAGAATTTCCCGGCTCCAACTTCCTCACGAATTTTGGATCTCACTTGGTGAGCAAGAATATTCAGAACATCTTTTTGAATTTCTGGAGAAGTATACTTCACATTTCTTGGAGCATTCCCTAAAATTACGTCTCCAATACTATCATTCATTCTTCTCATGAACTTTATCATTTCTATAAAATTTCCACAATTAGTAGATAGTGTAAATTCATAATCTCCTCTAAATGCACATGCTTTCAAAGTGAGCCATCATATGCTTTCAATAGTTGCTGTTAGCCGCAATCTATTCTTTTGTTTCTCCTCTAAAGTTTGTGCGTTGGTTGGCTTATCAACATGATGAGGCACATTCATCAAACAATCAATGGAGGCTGCAACAATATTATGTGATAAAGTAGGGCCTCCAATATGTTGTAAGAAGGAGCACCTATCTCCGTCATTAACTCGTTTCCAATACTTGAATCCCTCTGTAGTAAATGTTGGATTTCGAGCTTGCTTATTTTCGAACAAGAAACACAGGAAGTAAAACGTAGCATCCTTAGAAGGAGAGTACTCTAACCAAGTAAACTTCTTGAACCAATTGCTTTGAAATCTCCGATTTTGAACTCCGAATTTCGTCGTTGGATATTCTTTCTGGATAGGTTGATACGGTCTCATCTTAATATAAGCTCGTCTCATTTCATCTCTTTGATCGACGAGACATTTCCATATTGGGGTACGCAATGCCGGGTCACGTTCAAGAGAGCTAATATCAATAGAGGCGGCAACATCATAATTAGAAGGACGATCTTCGCTTGTTGACGTATGCTCTTTTGGCTTAAAGAACGAATTGATCGTCTTTCTTTTCTTCGTTCTTTGACCCTCCATTATAATTAAAACCTATCAACTTAACAAAAAATAGTAAATTAATCAAGCATTTAGATTATATAAGCAAACTAAAAATAATAATAAAATAAATAAAAAAAAAAGTAATCAATAATGCATTGTGGGTTTTTGTACACAATCATATTATGAAGGCCAAGCATCAACACCTTTAAAAGGATCGAGTACATGATCAAGTTGAATTAACAAGTACAATTAAGCTAAAAACATGTTCCCAATTAATATAAACTTTAACATAAATTAGAGACTACAAGTGAAACAAGTACACCAAAGAACATTTTTACCATTTTTCCACACCATCAAAAATCAAAATAACCTCAGTACCCAATAATACCAAAAGGGTAGGGTTTGCTAATAAGTGATAACTTCTTCCCATTTGTGGGCCCAAATTCACCAGAAAAAACCAACAATTTGGACAGAAAATTGGACACACTTGTGAGAACATTTCAATAAATAAATAAAAATAAATAAATTCATGTTTAATTCCCGCAATGAAATGTATGTATGTAACACATTTCTATTTTTTCTCAGTTATGACTTATATTGGCAGCATCACTCCAATCAGATTAGCTTAGGACATTGCATATCATGTTTCTCTTCATAGTCAAAATGAATGCCAGTTGCATAAACTATTACATACAATCTAAATAAATCTAATTATGAACCCTATCCACAAGTGGATATTCGATTCTTACCAGTGAGATAAGCGGCCGTAGAACCAGGTCCGGCGGTGCACCGGTGGAGCCGTGGAAATTGACGGCGTCTGAGCATGTAGTGAAACTGGAGGTCTGGACTTTGGTCTTTGCTAGGTTTGCTTGAAGGCCGCTAAAGCGTGGATGGGAAATTTGGGATGNTATTTTTTTTTTTTTAATTTTAAAATTACCTGGGGCTGGAGCCCACCCTAGCCCATGGGTGGCTCCGCCCCTGATTCTAACGCCAAAAGTTACATGTTTTGACCCATAACTATTGGACTGCAACAAATAGAACGACATCATTATTATTTTTGGCAAAAAATGAAAAAAAAATGCGATAATTTAAAAAACAGGATCGTCAAACTAGTGAAAGCACAACAAATACGGTGCAGAACAAACATGATGATTCTCTTTCGCCGCACATCGCTCCAATTCTCCCAGAGCCAGACTCGAACACGACTACTTACATTGAGCAAGATCCGGGAAAAAGAAAGCTAATAGGTGAATATCCCGTTCACCCCAGAGATGGAATTAGATGGGAATATTTAAGAGCGGGACCTTATCAACCGAAAATGGAAACATATCCGACCAAAAAATTTGGTGTCCAAAATCGCAGCTTTCAGAAAAGGTGGTTTGATAAGTTTCATTGGCTAGAATATTCACCCACCACGGATAGAGCCTATTGTTTTTACTGCTTTTTGTTCTTAAGTGAAGTTACTATGCATAATGCTTCATCATTAGTAAAGGAAGAATTTCATAATTGGAAGTGAATAAGTCAAGGAGATAAATGTGCATTTCTTACTCACATTGGTTCTACAACTTTATCACCTCATACTATGTGTGTTAGAAGAGCAGAGGATTTGATGAGGCCCTCTGGACATATAGACAAAGTCTTGTATGCCTAGTCGAAAATTGAAAAAGAGAGAAACCATTTACGCTAGAAGAGTTCAATAATGAGCATTCGATGGTTAGCACTTCAAGGTTGCTCGTTCAGAGACAATGACGAGTCATCTTCTTCTTCAAATCGTGGAAATTTTATTGAATTGATCAAGGCTTTTGCTAGTATAAATGCTAAAGTTAATGAAGTTGTGTTGGAGAATGCACCCAAAAATGCTCAATACATTGCTCCAAAAATTCAAAAGGAGATTCTAAATATTATGGGCAATAGAGTACGCCAAATGATTCGTGAAGAAGTTGAGGGTAAGCATTCTTGTATTCTTGTTGATGAAGCACAAGATATATCAAAAAAGAGCAAATGGCCATTATTTTGAGGTTTGTCAATGATAATGGAACGTTGACTGAACGTTTCTTTTCAATCAAAAGTGTTGTCGCTACCACTTCATTAAATTTGATAAAAGAGATTTGTGCCATTCTTTGTCATCATGATCTCCATGTTAAAAAAATGAGAGGACAGGGATATGATGGTGCTAGTAATATGCGTGATTCGTGGAATGGTCTTCAAGTATGATTTATCAAAGATTGCCCATATGCTTATTATATTCATTGTTTTGCACATCGGTTACAATTGACATTGATTTCTGCTGCACAGGATGTTATTGTTATTTGGGAGTTTCTTTCTCACTTGGATAATGTTGTTAATATCATTACTTCTTCTCCAAAGCGTGTTTATGAGTTGCGAGCAGCTCAAAGACAAGAAAATGAGGATTTATTAGCTAATGAAGAGCGAGACTCGGGATATGGTGTCAACCAAAGTGGTAACTTGCAACGTGCTGGAACCACTCGTTGGAGCTCTCATTATAACTCCGTGAAGAGCCTTATTGATATGTATGCCGCCACTTGCAAAGTGTTTGAATATCTCATGGAGCATTGTTCGAGTGGAAGATCTAAGGCTGAAGTTCGTGGGGTTTATAGAAATATGGCAACCTTTGAATTTGTGTTTGTCTTGCATTTGATGCACAAAATTTTTAGAATCACTGATGCTCTTTGCCAGGTACTTCAAAGAAAAACTTAAGATATAGTGACGGCTATCACATTTGTGTCTACCACAAAAAATATTCTTCAAGATTTAAGAGAATCTGGTTGGATGGCATTTCTTGAGGATGTTAAAGTTTTTTGCTCGAAAAATGGTATTGATGTTCCGAACTTAGATGACTTTTACAAGGTTGGTCGTTCTCGCGGACATACCACAATTGAACATCATTACCACTTTGACATCTTAAATGAAACAATTGATTTCATTTTGATGGAGTTGAACGTACGGTTTAATGATGCCTCTATCGAACTTATTTCTCTCACTGTGGCTTTGGATCCTAAAAATTCTTTTGAATCATTTAATAGTGATGATATTTGCAAGCTTGCGAGAAAGTTCTATCCGGAAGATTTTACACCTCAAGATATTGTGACTTTTGAATATGAGTTAATTCATTATAAGCATGATGTGCTTAAGATTTTTCAGGCATCTACGCTCGTTGACATATGCCAGAAATTAACAGAGAGTGGTAGATCGAAAGTGTACGTTATGTTAACTAGATAGATCCATCTAGTTCTGACGTTACCGGTTTCTACTGCTACAATCGAACGAGCATTTTCAGCCATGAAGCATGTGAAGACAACACTTCGCAATAAGATCGGGGATGGCATGAGCTTACTAATAGCATAAACATAGATTCTATTATTGACGAATTTTACTCTGTAAAAACTCGTCGGACACAACTTTAGTGAATATTTGAAGAAAAAATATTATGTGTTTTTTATTATAATGAGTATTTAATTCTAGCCCAGTTTATTTTTATTTTCTGGATCCGTCCCTGATGAAGATAATATACATTACTTATAAAGAATTTAAAGTTGAGATGAGATCATTGTGTAGGCATTGTTAGCAAGATTAAGCTAAATGGTGAAGGTTGAGCAGATAATGAGCAGCATGAGGACGTGGAGGCTAGTACATGCACCAAGGAGAATAGTACCATGAACATGCACCAAGAGCACAAATTGGTTGGAGAAGTTTTGTCCTCTAGCTTAGACTAATGATCATTCAATAAGTGTCCTAGGATCTAGAATACTCTATCATTATCCAATCATTGAGAAATCATAGAAATGAAAACATGGGCGGATCGAGAAATTTTATCTTGGGGGTATATATTTTTTAATAATAAAAAATAATGTACATAAAAAATAGAAAGTTGTATTATAAAATCATACATGCAATATAAATTATAAAGTTTCAAACCTTGACATTAACAAATTTACATTGAAAGCTCTCCCAACTCATGAATTTCATTAATGATTGATCAATACTAATAATTTGATAATTTTTTTTTTTCATTAAGCATATCTTATATGGTCTTCTTTTTCAAAAATTACCAATTTTTATTTTTTTACATATTTACCATACATTCAATTTATTCAAATTACAAAAAATGTTATACAAAAGTGTAAAAAGAGTATAATTGATGTTGAATTATTAGTAGAAAGAGTAATACAAATACTATTTTAATATAACTGTGTGAGTTTATGTGAAAAATGATATACTTATAATAAAAATTGCAAATCTTAGGAGGGACAATGCCTGCCCCCCCTCCCGAAAGAATATATAGATCGGTCCCTGAATGAAAATATCTTGAGCTCATGAGTTCCTCTTGTTTTTCTTTCTTTTTGTTCGACTGTAACTTTAACAGGCATCACAATTAAGATTTGTGTATATGTGATGAGAATGGAGGTTTTGACATCCAAGGACGAGAAGGGTCGAAGACCGAGACGACCCGAGAAGATTGAGCAAAGGGCCGAAACAGCACACACGAGCCGCCAACTCGTCGGTGAAGCTTGGGACGCGAGAGGGGTTGGAGTGACTTGAGGTGCAAGCTGACCGAGATCTTTCTAGAAGATGGCCGGGAATAGTGAAAGATATTGGCTGATTCTTGGATAATAATAAATATATTATTTCATTGTTTAAATTATTCTAGTTTATTTAGGAGTTAATTAATTTAGGTATTATTAGGATTTGAGTTATTTACTCTTCATAAGTTAGGAGTTGATTGTTGTTAGAATTAGTTTTGCTTTTCTTTAAATAGTTATCATTGTCATCCAATTTTAAATTATGAATGAAGAATTAAGAAAATCTCTTTCGAGCACAACTCTTTTGTGTTAAACAGAGGCTGTCAGTGCGTTGTTTTCGCAAACTTGTAAAAGGAAGGTTGATAGTGCACCCTTCTACGCAATCTATCGTGAAGATGGAATGTCGTTAACGTGCCTTTCGACACAAACTGAGGTATCGAGATAAACGATCTTTATCATTAGTGCTTTCATTGAGAAAAGTTGATCGGGATCGTATGGAGGAGACAAGCGCATACAATTAAATTTCCAAAATTTAGAGTGGCTCGAAAAGAAGATGGCTCACTGGGGGATCAAGTCTCCACCCAAATCCACCGAACATTGGGGCGTGGTACGCACGAAGACGCGCATAGAGCCACGACATGGGGGGTCATACGCGGACAACAATTCTTGAGGTGGTGGCATGGCGCCATCGAGTAACACGAGGGTTGAAGGCCGTGAAGACCGGATCACGAAAATTGGTGCGAGGAATACTCGTTTCCGTTAGAGTTTTTGGGATTTTTCGAAGAGGAGTCACTTTGTCATGCAAATTTCTGGGATTTTTTGACATGGAACCAATGTTCACGTTTGAATTCCTGGGATACTTTGAGGTGGAGGTCGACAAGGGAGACGTCTCGAGTGAACTTTTGTCCGTCGGAGGAGAGGATGATGATTTGTAAGTCATGTCCTTGAAGACAAGGACATATTCAAAGGGGGCGGGAATGATGAGAATGGAGGTTTCGATCTTCGAGGACGAGAAGGGTCAAAGGCCGAGATGACCCGAGAAGGCCGAGCGAAGGACCGAAACAACATGCACGAATCGCCAGGAGGTCGGCGATGCTTGGGAAGCGAGAGGGGTTGGCGTGACTTGAGATTCAAGCTGACCGAGATCCTTCTAGAAGATGTTCGGGAATCTTGGAAGATATTGGCTGATTCTTGAAGGTTAATAATTATATTATTTTCTTGCTTAAATTATTCTAGTTTATTTAAGAGTTAATTAGTTTAGATATTATTAGGATTTGAGCTATT